TTTTTCACAGGAGACAACTACATTTAGTGTATTTTCTATACAAAATTGAAATATCTAGAATACAAGATGGTGATGATTCTGATATGTTATAAATAATTCAATTTAAGAATAGCAAACGTAAAGGCGTAAATTAAATTTTTTTTTAAATTAAAAACGTATTTTACACCAAATACACAAAAATTAGGCCTGAAAAAAAGGATATGTTCGCTGTTAGATTTTGTAACTGACACAAGACTTTCAGAGCTAATAATCTCAAAATGACCAAAAATATGCCAATCAATTGGCTTATCATAACTAATATAAACAATGCAAAACACAGAACCGGTTATTTATGTATAGATTGCCATTAAATTTGCGCTCAAGGAAACTACGACTCTAAAATATTTGATGTCATTAGAAAAATGCAGATTTCTTCTTAGAGGATGATATTCCTCACCACAAATGAGAAAAACACACACAGCTTGTCTAATAGTTATCAAATGCTTCCTGCAGGTGCTTACGTCCATGCTAAAGAATTCAAAGGCCAGCTAAAGCGGTCTGTGCTGTGATCGTAAGGGAAGAGGAATGTGCTGTTTTGAAACAGATAGAGCAACCGATACGGTTGCCTATCTACGTCCCTTAGAGGTTTGAGAGCCGTAAGCAAAGAAATGTGAAAGCGAATCACTCTTCTCAGAGCTAAAAGGCTCAAATGTTTTAAAATAAACCGCTGAAGGCTTGAAAACTGAAATACAGACATTTAGGGAAGGGTAATGTGCTGTGTGTTGGTCATACAATGCTCCCTCTGGGCCTGAGAGTAAGATAATACGTCTGCCGCTAATATGCTAACATGCTAACTTTAAGAGGCAGCCTCATCCGGTTTCCCCTGCTATCACACAGCAAGTGAGTGCCAGGCTGTTTGTATAGCCTAAAGCCATGCTAAGTCACTTCCCATGCTCGGGCCAAAGAACACAGCTGACAGAAGGAGCCAGGGTCCTAGTGTGTGGGAAAAAGCAGTGACAGATAGAGGGCAGGAAGACAGCAGACAGCTGGAGATGCAGGGACCTCCGTAAGAGGGCATGAGATCTTCTCCGTCTCAGGGAAGCCACTCAGAGAAATTTGATATACTTTTATTCATGTTAGTTATTTTGACTGTTTGGGGTTTAGACGCTATATATGTGGAATTATAATAGGACATTTGAAATTAAATTCCTTTTTCTCCCATTAAATAATTTCCCCATGTTCCTTGGACCTAATCAAAACTGATAACATTAACATTTTGTTAATCAGGTCTCAGGATTAGAAAAAGTACTAAACATTTTTTCTCATTAAATATTTTTCAATTGAAAATTAGTCACATTGTAGAAGTAAAAGTAGTTTCATACTGACTCATTATATTTTGAATAGGCTACTCTAGTCATATCAACCACCAGATGAGTACACATACTGTTCAAAAATTTGAGATCAGTAATAATGTTTGGTAAAGAAATGTATATTTTAGGAAGGATGCATTAAATTGTGTGACAGTAAAGACATTTATAATGTTACAAAAGATTTCTATTTCAAATAAATGCTGTCCTTTTCAACTTTTTATTTATGAAAGAAAATTTGTAATAAAAAATGTTTATTACCATTTCCAAAACAAAACTGTTTTCAACATTGATAATACTAATAAATCTTTCTTGAGCAGCAAATAAGCATATTAGAATGATTTCTGAAGGGATCATGTGACCATGAAGACTGGAATACTGGCTGCTGAAAATTCAGCTTTGCCATCACAGGAATACATTTTCCTGTGTAGGACTGTCAGTCGATTAACATTTTTAATCTAATTAATTACAGGGTGCTGCGAATAATTAATCTGCGAAAATACCCCCAAAAGATAATTTAAACCTTTTATTATTGTGTGTCTGCCCGTCTCTATCATCAGCGTGTGTCCGCTGAGTCTGTATCTGGTCAACGTGCCTCTCAGTTTCTTATCTGACAATGTGTACAGATACTCTGCCATACTGTACTCTCTGTTTAGTACTCTCTGTACTTTCTGTACTCTCTCTCTCTCTCTCTCTCTCGCTCTCTCTCTCGCTCGCGCACACATGTGCGCGCACACACTCACACTATGCGCAAAAATCCGCATTTGAACAGTCAACAGCAAATACTTGAAATAAAATTCGAGAAACATCTCAGTATTTTTTGTTCATGCAATGAAAGTCAGTGAGTAAATGATGACAGAATTTATTTATTTATGTATTTATTTTTTGGTGAACTATCCCTTTAATATTTTTTTCATAAATGAAATGATACTCTAAAGAAGAAACTAAAACTACCAACAGATGGCGGTAAATGTCTTTATGAGTCGAAACGGCTCTCTATGAATGGGCTACTGAATCATTGGTTCACATGATTCGTTCAAAACGCGGATTCATTTAGAAACTAAACATCGCTGTGTTGCTCAGAGATGCACAACAATTCTGTTGTGGCTTTTAGGTAATATTTTCACTTAAATTTGAGAAAAACTTTGCACAATATTAACTCCTTATTTACTGAACTGTTGTATAAAAATCACATTTGCACTTGTGTTCTTCCTCGTGACAAAAACAGCACTCCTGTGTGTATTGTTTTACTGTGTTTTTGATCAAATAAATGCAGCCTCGGTGAGCATAAGAGAGCTACTTTTTTTAAACATATGAATGGTAGTGTATGTTAATGAGACACCTGTATTCAGTGTGTTGCAAAACATCTGTATCTGCAACAGAGAACATTTTAGTGCAGAGTTGCAGGTAAACAATACATATAAATCGTCCACCTATAATAAATGTCTCAGTGACAACAGTTTAAACATATTGTAAAAGTGCATTTAGCAATATTTTCCTGTGGTGATACAATGTCTATTGCAGATGAATTGTTTGTTTCGGGTGTAGCCTAAAAGTAACATGATTTCCACTTGTTTTCACAGTTAACGAAATCATCAGGAACGATCTCTCCTGCATCTCCGTTCACAGCCACGCATAGCAGCCTAAGGTCCCTCTGAGAAGACCACGGCAATCATGAACTCTTCAGCATAACAAATTTCTGACAGAAGATCCGAATCAGCAACACCTGACTCTGATAACACCGATTCAACAAACAAACCTTATGCACTCAGAGTTCCACTTCATACGAGGCCATCAGAACTCACCGAACCTTGCTTGTTTTATTTCCATGAATACTGAAAACCAGCCTAAAAGCATAGAAAAAAACAAGTGCACTTCATTTCAGAATTTATCAGCACATCCTGCCGAGACGGAGTGTGTGCTGTTGTGGACCAAGTTGTCTCTTTTTTTGCTTTCCTATTTACTCTCTTGCACTCAGTGTAGCTTTTTAAATTATTACCATAAGTGCAGTTTGACGCCTTTTCTCTGTACACAACCATGTATATTTCTAAAAAGAACATTTGAGTCTGGTCACAAATCAGTAACTTTGCAGGCCAAAAACCAGACGTGCAGTTGACGCACAAAAGGCATTTTCTCCGACATGCTGTGACTGACAACAGAACTATAATATACACCAAAAACTCTACACAATTACGAAATGAAACAATTTTATTCATGCACTGTAATCCAAATCTTCCTAATCCATACTGCGAGGAACAGACCCAAATCCAAGATGATGCATACATTTAAAAAGGTTGAAAAAGGTATTTTGTAAAGGTAAATAAAAATATGCAGATTTAACTATGTAAAAGCTGATAGAACACTAAAAATATTGCTTCAGAATATATTGTTTACACCATCAAAAATCTCGGTGAGGCAGTACGTTAGTGGGGATATTTTGTATGTAATATTGTCTGCTGATTCAATAAAGTTCTTGCATAAATTGGAAGTGTGGGTCTTATTTCAGCAAATTACCTCACACTGTTAAATCTATCCCCAGCTTGTTGTTACAACTCACCCCAGTAGTGGGGTAGGTTGTAACAACAGAACTCTTTGTATTTGACATGTGATTATGCAGTACACGTCCAAGTTAGTTTTATTTGTAGTAGACAAATGTGGCTACGATATATCAACGTTTTAGAGATGGCACAAACAACCACTGAGTTACTGATGTTCAAATAAAAAGTGTTACTTTCATCCCTGGTCTCCCCTAACACTGCCGATTTTTAAGACCCTATCAACTCAATTCATTGCCTTAGCGTAATGACGAGAGACTGATATAAGTGGTTCTCAAACTTTCTAACTTCAAGGCTTCTCACTGTCAAAGTCAATATTAGAGGCTACCCTGCAAAGGCATTTTTTTTTTCTTCTGGTGAGATTACAAAATATGAGCTTGTATTTTTGTTTTTTATGTTAATATGTTCAAATAATTGTGTAGAATCATTAACTTTTTTAAAGTGAAGAAACCTAAATAAGTGCTGTTGTCTTGCTGAAAAATAATTTCTCTGCATGCAGGATTATTAGCCTTTTTTTAACAACTCTGCTATTATTTTAAAGGTAACTCAAACAGATGTTTACGATGAATTTCCCAATATGAACACTGCAGATCATTTTAGACCTGTCTGCTTATTATCCATAGTAGAAAATCCAATGCATGTCACTAACACATTTGATCAGATTTTGCTGATAAAAATAAATATAAGGTAACTTTAAATCATTTTAAAGCAAAAAAAAAAAAAAAAGGTAGTTTACTGAGGTCACCTAGTAAAACTGCTCCTGTGTGAGAATCAATCTAAATGAGTTATATTCACTGTAGATCGTTACCACCTCCTAGTGGACATTTGACAAGTCTGCCATATCTGGCAAATCGTGATTAGGATTTATTTGCAAGTAAGCAAATAAAAAAAAACATCAGCATAAAACACTTAACAAACATTGTTAACATACGTAGCAAAACATCTGCATAGTATACAAAATAATCAACATTAAAAAAGTTTTTTTTACATCAATTCAAATATTTTTATATTCATTTTAAACAAATTTCCTTTCTGACTAAAAGTCTAATAGATTTTTTTCATATGCTCCACAGGTAAGAATTCATAAAATTAATATTATAATTAATTTTAATATTATTTACAGAACATTTATCTCATAGACAAAAAGTGTTACACGGGTCACCGGAGGTGAAAAAGTCATATATATTGACCAAAGGAAACATAGTCACTGCCCCCAACATTGAGCCCAACTGCACTACAGCTCCACACCACACAAGAGCGCCGTGGCCCTCATCTCGCAAGATGACAGCAACAATCACTTTTACATAAGATAGGATGAAGATGAAAAAGAACCAAGCCAACACCTGAAAACACAGGATTACTCAGTGTGAATATACAAAAAGAAACAGTAACACAGATCAAGCAACAACAAAAAAAAGAATGCTTCTTATATTGGAAATAAACACAAACTGGTCCCAAGTACTCACAATAATGATGGCTCCAGAGGTGTCATTAACTAGCAGTGGACATGGACTCAACACAGCCATGCCCATAATGTAAAATCCAATAAGAGAGCCAATAGAAGTGAGAACTCCCATCAACAACAAGGACCTGTTTAGAATGCAACAAAGTGTTGAGAAGTAGTAAGTATGTTTATAGCAGTTCTATCTATCTATCTATCTATATATCTATCTTTTTTTAAACTCACATCAGTATTTCATGTCCACATACTTATTTGTTTGGTAAGAAACTGTGTAAAAAGTAGTTATTGTTCATTTAATTCACTATAAAATCAGTTAGTGCATTAAATTGCTATTGTTCATGATGTAGCTCACCTTTGAGTGTAAAACATGCTGATGAAACAAGCTATTGGATTGGCAATATTCGCCATAGTTGCTGACCAGTGATAGGCCTGGTCTCCATATGGTAAACATGAGTACGACTGCACTGACGGCAAACCGGTATTAGTCAGAGCGGTCACCCATGCTAGCATAATGTAGATGTATATGACTTGTATCCATGTGTGCGTCCCCGTCCCAAACGTTCTCTTAGGTTTCTGACTAGCCTTTTTAGAACGCATCATTGGTTTCTGTTCAGATTTCTTGTTTTTCCAGTGGGATATGGGATCTTCATTTCCGTTTATGTTATTGGGACGCTCTTGGGCCACAGCTGGATGGTAGTTCAAAAGTAAGAACGCCACCAAACAAACCACCATCATAGCCGCCAAGATGAAAAAATAGGCTTCAACTGAAAAGTTAGCTGGTTGGTAGTGAGGCACAAGATAGGTAGTGTCTCTTTCAGACCCGTTAAGATGTGTTTCATTGGATCTGAGGATTTGAGATGCATTGACACATTCCATCACACCTACACCTTGAACCAACGCCACTAAAGCTGGGACAAGACCACTCAGGCCTTCTCCTACATAATAAGTCATGAGATATTCTGCCTTGAGCTGTGTCATGAAGGGAAGGAACGTCACCGAAGAGGTGCAGTCCACTAATGAGATAAAGAAGATGAGGAGCAGCAGAGGAACGCTGCGCTCTACGCCTTGCACCACTACTGTCTCACTCCAGAAGAAAGCCAGTAAAAGGCTTGCCAGTATCCCGAAACCAACAATAAAATAGATAACTGCAGTCTCGTTGAGTGTTCCTGGGCGGAAGCGGTGCATTAACGTGACAAACAGAGGTCCGATGTTGGCCAGTTGGACAATAATGGAGATGTAGGAGGGAAGATACCAACCCTCAGGTACCTGTGGAACGATGAGAGGCAGCTCCACCCACAGACCACAGATGGTGACCCAGGAGCCCATGCCAAACAGGCCAGCCAAAACATGGGTGAGGATAGACGTGGCCATGCTGATTTAAATCAGACTTCGTAACCTTAATGTCTTCAGAAAAGAAAAATGATGTGTACAGTTAGTACCCAAGAGAATTTCATTCAATGTCAGACATTATTTTTGCAGTTCTATTTGGAGCCACTGTGACGTTCAAATGACACTTTGTCTTTAGACTCCAAATTTGGTGCAGTGAAGTTTATTTATTCAGCTGTAATGTCCGAGATGACTCAGCATTATGTCCTTGAGCAAGACATTTAATCCAGAAGCGCTCCAGGGGATTGACCCTTCAGTCAGTGCACACTCTTTTTGGATAAGACACATCTGCTAATATGAAGTTATTCAGTAACATCTGCAGTAAATGGAGCATTGTCTTACTGATACTTTGATGTCGTGCCAATGTATTTTAAGAACAAAGTCAGGAAGTCTGTGCTTATTTGCAGAAAGCCTGTCAAAGTACAAATCATAGTGTAGTTAGCAGGGGGTTTGTAGGGACAGTTGAGATCATGAAAATGGGCCCAACTGATGTAAAACTGTCATAGCAATAAAACTATATTCATATATTTACATTTGTTTCCCTCCCCCCAATGTATAGGAATGCATAATTTTTTACTTTTTAAAGTTTATATTTAATCACCCTTTCAGCTATTATCAGATCACCTAAACTGGTGTGAAAATAAATAAATCATGTTGTAACTAATGTGACGTCATAAATTCTGCATGCTATTCTTTTTATTATGGAAGTAGAGAAATGGTGCTTGCAATTTCATGTAAACTACACTCTTAAAAATAAAGGTGCTTCACATGCCTTAGAAGAACCTTTTTGTCTAAATGGTTCTATAAAGAACTTTTAACATCTGAAGGACCTTTCGGTTTCACAAATGGTTCTTTGTGGTGAAAGAAGGTTCTTCAGATTATAAAAAGATAAGTAAGAGATGGTTCTTTAAAGAACCTTTGACTGAATGCTTCTTTGTGGAACTAAAAATGGTTCTTGAAGAACCTATTGAAGCACCTTTATTTTTAAGAGTGTATAATGCAATTATAAAACAATTTAGTGCAATAAAAATGTTAAAACAATTTAAAATGAGGTACAGCAATGTGGAGATTATTATTATTATTATTATAAACCCACACACAAACCTCTAGAGAAAATAAGAGAAAACAAACGGAAATGTTTGCTTACTTTTCTCAAATTAATGTTGTCAAAACGTGACAAGACGTATGAAGAAGTGATGCTTCTACCAGCCAAAAATGCATCCAACACGGTAAGAAATTTAAAAAAGAAGCAAATTAAGCATTTTTCATCATTCATTCCGTGTTCTGATTAACTTTAGCATATTTGTGTAATCAGCGGATGATAACATCCAAGCAATGCTAATGCGCGACATGAATAAATAATGCAGTTTATGCATTACTTTTTATTGTTTCACTGTTTCAGCTGCTGTTGTTGTATTTGTTACTCTTAGTTATTTGTCGTCTGGTCACCACTGAAAGCTCAGCTAAACTTATGCTGTTTTTGGTTGTCACCTTCACTGGTGTTTAACTGTTAAATGATTAGCTCTGTGTCCGTCTGAAAGTTAATGGATATGATAATCTAGTTCCAGTATGCAGAACAATAAAAGGTTACTCGAATATATTAAAATCATTATCATCATGTGCGTCATAATATTGAGCCATTTACTTTTTGTTTCCCATGCATGTCATAGTAAACTGCCTTTTTATGAAGTACAGTGCAGTTATACAAAACCTAATTGCGATTATTTTTGTCATAAGCAACAAACTTACTGATCATACACACTGCCTAGCATGCAACATTTGCCAAAAGCATTTTTTTAAATGTACAAAACAAAAATGAAAAAAAGATTGATATGTGAAAACTGACAGGTACTCACATGATCTGAGGCTAATCATATGAAGACAAAGTCCTGTACAATGAGAGAAATGTCTTATATCCTCTGCATGAGTGGGTGTGCCTATTCTAGCCAACCATGGCACCTGTCTGTTGATGTTTTATAAAGGGAAAAAAATAATGTATAATTTGTAATCATTTATTATAATGCTAGTATGTAGGTCAGAAACAACTTTAATCATACATTTATTAAAAATGCAATATTAACATTCATATTTGGGGGATAAAAAAATCATCAGAGAGCAATGAGAGCTGTTTTCTTGCATACATTCTGGCAGGAAATGTAACAAAAGTTAGCCAAGCAGATCACAGCTTCTGTAAATGTTTAACTATACCATTATGTTATATAAGAATGTAGTAAAAAAGTGACTTAATATAACTGCTGACTGTAAAAAAAAAAAAAAAAAGCTTAAGTAGTTTTACATTTCTGTAGTTTATAGGTCAGTTTTTAGGTTTTTATTAATTTTTGTTTTTAATAATAATAAGCCCCACAACTTTGTTTTCATACCACACTCACATTTCTTTGTTGTCAAATGAACCATTTATTTACTACAAAAAGCTCTGAGATCATAGAACAACAGCACATAAAAAGTGCATAAGAACATGTGAACATATTCAAAACAGCATATAATAGTTCTGTGACGCCATATTATTTTAAGCCTCATGGCATTTTAATGATTTTTTCCCCTCACATGTTAATACTGTGTACAGTTAATTAACAGTTTAAATAAAGGCTTCAATTAGAGATGTCAGGAATGCAGTTAGTGCACAACACAAATCTCCAGCTCTCATAAAACTAAATCTGATTTAAACCCAGTTTTTATTCTGAATTTATGCAATTAGTGCCAAGAATAACTAGTGCTAAATGCCAAAAATGACACACACCACAATTTAAGTGCAAGATAACAGCAGCTGAAAAATCAGATTAACCTTCTTTAAAATACTGGCCTCACATCTAAAATATTCCAAATCAAAAGGGTAAAACATGGCAGATACGACAGGTTAGACATTTTCGATAGTACATTTAGACCCTGTATGTACATTAAAACTAAAAATGTACACTTAAACAAAACCAGATATTCAGCAGACAGTGTTGAGTGTCTAAATATAAAGAAATAATGGAATGTTGATGATACACATGCTTGTGGTCGTCAAAACACAATTTCATTTTGGAGTCATAGAAAGCATAGTTTTTCCAGTTAGGAACAATATAACTTACCTGATTTGTATTCATCAACAATGACCAGCAATAAACAAAATACTGTGTATAATACTACTACTGTATAGACAGTATAAGTCTACTTATTTTATAGTGTATATTGTAGTTATAGTTCGCTGACTTGTGATTTCTGGTCTAAACAATTGCTCACATGCTGATACCAAGGTTTTCAATTATGAAATCAGACTTGCTCTGATATCCAAACACAGATGTCTTGTCTTGGTGCATGAAAACACTTCTCACTTAATCTAGATCAAGGTCAAGGTGTTCACACACAAATTTAAAGTGACTCAAATGTATCAACCACATATTCTTTACATTCTCAATGTGCCATCGGGTAACACAAAGATAAGCAATGTGATCAAGTGTAGCTCTTTTTTTGCATTGCCATTAACTTGAAATGTCCTGTGAAGGCATCAGGTTTACCATCTTTTTCCATGTTAGATTAGAAGTGATACCTGTTGTATAAAGGCATAGGGTGAGTGTAAAATCAAGTGCTGTAATATTAACTGCAGTTGTCTGTGCAGTCCTGGGCTCGCTGGAAGACCTGGTACACACTGACTAAAGGGAACATCGCGAGAGCTCCAATGAGAGAGCCAGCCTGGATGAAGACTCCACACCAAAGCAAAGCTGCATGCCCTGCTTCGTGAAGCAGAGTCCCAACTACAACCTTCAGGTAAGAGAACAAGCCGGTGAAGATGATCCAGGATATGATCTGAATGAAGAAAGAATTACAGGCTTCTGTTAAAAAACGATGAGAATAAATGGGTTCTAATATTCTCCATATAGTTTAATATAATTATTTTTATACTGTATTTACAGATAATGTGTGCACTATGTGTGGTGACTGAACGGGTGCCTTATTTTTATTAATTATTTTTGAAATGTAAATCAATAATTAGAGTAAAACAGAGGTTAAGGTCTATTGAGCAGCATCTGTGGCATGGTCATTTACCCTAGAAAATATTTTAAAATATTATAATAAAGTTAATATTTCTAAGTATAATTAATTATTATATTAAATGTTTAATGCAAGTATAATTTTACAGCAGTTGCCCCATAGACTTCCACTGTACACAACTATTAAAATAAGAGGTTTTTGATATTGCTATAATGACCCCTTTTCTCAATAATTATCTTTCAAGCATCTTAATTATCTTACTCATACTTTCTCAAATCTTTAGAGATGGTACAATAATGAAACGGAGTGGGGCGAAATCGCTAAACAGTTGCACCACTTTTGCACGTGGTAGTTCAGTGGTGTAGTAAACAGCACTTTTAACATTTCGAGAGATTCGTTCTTAGTTCCTCTTCCACTCAGTAATGACATGCAGTTACTAACCACTAGAGCAACTCCAGACTGACTTCCTAAAAGTGGTGGACAGGGACTCAGCGCAGCCAAGGCCATGAGATGGGCAGCAAAAATACAGCCTCCCAGTGACACCATTCCAAGACCAATGCTGGACCTACAATGAAACCATCCATTTCAATTCTAAAAACTCAACTAAATTAATAACACTTACACCACACAATGATGTGACTAATTGTACATGAGCAGAATTTAAATTAGGGCCACTGTCCTGCAGAGTTTAGCTCCAACCTGCCTTAACACACCTGCCTGGAAGTTTACAATATGCCTAGTAAGGCAAGGCCTTGATTAGCTGGTTCAGGTGTGCGTAATTAGGGTTGGCGCTAAACTCTCCTGGACAGTGGCCTTCCAGGAACAGGACTGGACACCTGTGATGTCAATTAACAGGGCCACTAAGCATTTATGCACATAAAAGGGTCATCAAGAACTTTAACTCACTTACCTAAGTAGGAAAAACATGGCCACAAAGCAGGCCAGAGGGTTTGCAATGTTGCCCAAGACAACAGAGAGGTGAAAGGTCATGGTGCCATAAGGCAGACAGGAGAAACTCTGCACGGACGGCAGCACACCGTTGGTCAAAGCATTGGATATTCCCAGCAACAGGAGCAGGTATATATTGCGTGATGTCCAGAAGGCCACAACAGGTGCCTGTTTTTCAACTTCAACTTGTTCCTCAGAAACTGGGGAACCTCCGTTTTGTAAAGGGTGTGTCTCTTCCTCCGTTCTCACTGTTTCCTGTTCAGTCTTTGGAATTTCCTCTGCTGCAGTCGAAGTGACCACTCTGTTTGTCAGAGCGAAAAAACAGAGGGCCGAAACTGCCAGCATCACAGACAAGAACCAGAAGAAGTTTTGGGCAGGGAAGTTTTCTTTGAGATAGTGGGGCTCTGTGCCGTTGGCCGTCTCAACGCACTCTAGTTTCCCTACACCCTGACCCAAAGC